CTATATTAGGACTGTCTCTCTTCCACTTGTGCCTCTGTTGCAGAGTATGTAAATACTCCTCTTTCCACTTAACCCAGAAATCTCTTTTACCTCTCTCCACCTCTCTAAATTCCCAATTCTCTCATTTTCAATTGGTTCAACTATTTCTAGCGGTGGTCTACCAATCAAGAAATGGTCCTGGTGTTAGGACTTTATCTTGATCAATTTCATTTTCATGGGTATACAATGGTCTTGAATTTTAGCATGCTTCTTTCTGACATAAAAGTGTTGACATTTCTTCGTATGTCAGACTATTTTCCCCGATTACCCGTTTCAGATGGTATTTCATGGATTTAACTCCAGCTTCCCAAATACCTCCGAAGTGAGGTCCTGCCGGGGGGATAAAATGCCAATCAATTCTATCTTTTTCGAGCTGCGCGGCAATCATTGTATTTTCCTTGATTGCTTTAACTAAATCTTGATCTAATTTTCTTGAGGCTCCTACGAAATTAGTTCCGTTATCCGAATAAATATTTTTACATTTATCAGCAATATCTACCAGAACTCTGGTAGCTAAATATGGTGCGGATGCAGTACCATATGTGACTGTTGTCAATTTATAATTTTTTATTTTTTCATCTGGAGAGTTTCTCCATAAAATGTACTGGTATTTCTGATCCTCATAATCAATTTTTATTTGACGATACATTTTTTCAACATCCGCGGATACCACATATTCCCATTTTCTCCATTTAACGATAATGTCAAAAATATCCTTTTGAACTCGTGGACCAACCCACATTATATCGTTCAAACTTTTGTTATTAGTAGTTTTTGCTGAAGCGTCAAAAACTACTCTTAATTTGGTCGTCAAGCTCGAATCTCTGATCACGGCTTGGTGCGGTAAGAAATACTTACTTTCATTCTGCTCTTCGACCATATGTCCTAAATTCATATATTTATTAATGAAATTAGTGTAGTCTGCCCTTAGTTTCTCGTTTCTTTTTAGTTTTTTCTCCAGATTCATGAAACGAGCCATCGCTTGTTTCTTTGAATCCCCTAAGGTGACATCATCTTTAAATGGAATTGACACAATGTATCGCCCATCTGAATCTATCTTTGTAGTTTTTATGAAATTATTTTCACATATTTCAGATTCGATATCATTTTTATCTTCATCCTATACTTCCCAATACCGATCCATATCTTTTAATTCTATGGTGGTTGCTACAATTGTCTTCTGTCCCTTTGATTTTTTACATCCAGAGATAATCCACCCGAAATCGGTTTTTTGGCCGAGGAGGCCATTTATTTTGACCACTCCACTCTGTAGAATGTCAGTATATAGATCTGCTCCAATAATTAGATCTACACGCCCCGGATTATTAAAGTCGGGGTCGGCCAAATTATATTTTTCCCATTTTGTTTTATCAACATTAACTTTGTGGGCTGGGAGAGCCCTCATAAGTTTTGGGAGTACTAATGCTTCAACTTTTAAAATTTTTTGGGAAGCATTACATTTAATTGAAAGATGAATTTTGTGCTTCGAGATGCACTTTCCTGTGGAGGATACTCCACTGATCTCTGTTTGAGATCGAATTTTTTGTAATTTTAGAATCTGCACAGATTCTTCAGAAATTATGGTGCTTTGAAAACCACTGTCAATCAAAGCTCTGAAATTTTCAAACCCTCCATTCGAGGATTTTATTTGAACGCGTGCAGTAGCAAGCAACGCCTGTTCGGATGTCCTGCAAGTGTTAACCTTTTCTAATTTTTGGTTAACGTTATAATTTATATGTAGCATGCTGTGGTGATTTTTCTTGCAAATAGAACATGAAATGTCGCTTTGAAAATTTTTATTAAATGAGTGTTTCAGACATTTGAAACACAAATGAGCATTTTTTACTTTTTCCATCCTTTCTGATGGATTTAAAGCCTTAAATTTCTGACACTGGAATATAAAATGTCCCGAAATTTTACATATGGGACAATTATTAGTAGCTAATTCTCTTATATTGCTACTATATATTTTTTTTACAGGCTTTTCATCCTGAACTGAGCTTATCGAACTTAGCCGTTGCTCTAAAAATTCGATGACGTCCGATAACGCTTGAATCTCTTTAGTTTTTTTAACATGGCTCTCATATAGTTGAAGAGCTTCTTTGTTAAACTTCCTAATTCCACTTCCACTTCATCAGAAAGTTGTGCCTTCAATTTTATCTTATGTATTGACTCGTTAATCGTGTCAATAAATATTTTTAGTTGCCTAACTGAATCAACATTTACGATTTGAAGATCCAGAAGGCGGTTTAATTGATCGGAAAAAATTTTCCTTTTATTTTCGTACCGCTTGGTTAATAACTCCCAAGCGGCCTCATAATTCTCCCCAGATCCAAACAATAAGTGAGAAACCACATTTCTGGCTTCTCCCTTAAGTGAGATCTTAAGGTAACTGAACTTAAAAGAAGGACTTAGATCCTCTCTTAAATGAATGAGTTCATTAAACAACTCATAAAACAGGTCCCAGTCTTTGGAATCTCCATAGAACGTGGGTACCTGAATTTTAGGTAACGTTGGCAAATCATCAATTTTATGATTTCCAACGTTAACCTTTCCGGGCACAATTTGTTCGATTTTTTTTTCATTGTGTTGGTTATTGACGAGATGTCGAACTCTAACTCGTTCAACTCCTCGTCATAACCCCTATCAGTGACATCTAATTGGTCGACTTGTTTAAGACCTACTATTTTTGTCCAATAAAATTCTAATTTCTGGACTCTAATCTCAAAAGTTGAAACATTATCAGCTTAATGTCTTCAAAAGTTTCTTTTAAGTATTCCCGTACCTGTACTATTGCCCTATCTAATTTATTGACAACTTTAGAACTACTGGCCTCTAAGTCAACTTTAAAACCCTATTTATCCTACCTTCTTATTTGAGAGATCTATCATCATTTTCTCATAATGATTCTTCTTGAAGTAGTCATGATCGACTATTCCAATTTGAACCAAAACCGAATGATTTTGAACACATTCGGACCTTAATTCCTCATACTGTTTCAAATATTCAAATGATAGACTAGGTAGCTCTTTAAGGGTATGAATTAGTTTTGTAATTTCTACTTGCCTTTTTATTGAGGCAATAGTTTCAGCGGACAACATGGGATTGACTTTAGTTTTGTATATGTATATATATAAAAATAAATTGCTGTTCGTTAAAACTCGAGAGCGTCTAAACGGATTTATCTTTTCTTAATATTAAAATGTTCGTAACTTATAAAAATAAATTTTAAGATTAACTTAGCTGGTGTATTTGTTGTCGTCACTTCCGTTGTCGCCGTTGTAGTTGTTTTAGCTGATGCTGTTGTTGCTGATGCGCTTGTTGTTGCGGTTGTTGTTGCGGTTGTTGTTGCTGATGGTCGTTGTTGCTGCTGCCGCCGTTGTCCTTGTCTCTGTTGCCGCTCCTGTTGTTGATCCTGCTGGCCTTCCTTCAGTTGTCGTCTCTTTGAGGGTCTTCGTTGTTGTTTTTAAAGATGATTTAAGGTTTTTTTTTTTTTAATCCTTTTATTTATTTATTTTTGAACAGTTAAGATTGGGTTTTTTTTTTTTAATATTTTTTTTTTTATATATATATAATTTAATTTAACTTGTCGATTTCTCGACCACAATTTCACAAAAAATTTTTTATTTTTTTATTATTTTTGAAAATTGCTTTAAACAATAAGGACTCTTATTTGTCCTTTTGCTTTTAAATTTATACTCTGTTTCTTACCATAAAGGGGAAAACAAGAGTCAATTAAGGTGCTGGCTTTCCTCTAAGTCTCTTACCACTGGTGGGGAAAACTGTAGAGTTGCTCGTAGGACCAAAATGTTAAGGATAGTAAATAAATACAACCTTTTTGTTTAAGTTCTGTATTGAAACTGTTTCATTTTATTTAAAACTTCTTGACCAGAAACTTATGTGAAAATCTTATTCTAATCTTAGCTATGGTCTACGCAGAGACCTAATCTTTTAGTCTGGGCGGGGGAGTTATTTATTTTGCCCCCCGCACAAGAACTCTCGGTATTAGATAGCTCAAGTGGCCTGCTGTTACAGATTACAAGTGCATTTGAAAAACTGAACCCTTGTCGGGTCCCAGATCGTAAATTATGGCTCTTGATCGAATTACACAGTTCTACATGACATGTGCAGAGCTCATTAAATCTTAGACATAATATTTATCAGTGTTCGTCTGAACACTTACTCTTTTCTTCTGTCTGGGAAATTGTATTATTTTGGGTGTTACCTAATATAAAATAGTCCACTAGGCGAAGAGAAGGTTATATAGTTAAAAAGGCCTTCCGGATCAGCCGACTGGCACCCAGGAACGGATAAATGTTGGTTGCAAAACCCGAGAGGCTGCCAGAGATGGAAAACTTCGGGTGAAGAAGCCGAGATTCGGCAGACCGAATCACATGGCTGGATATTGTTTAAATAATTTTTTTTTTTGAATAGCCCCAACATGGCAGCTTATTCGCTGAAGATATGACCGAAGCACACACAAAGCCCTCATCGTGACATGAAAGACTTTGGCATTATACATAGTAGGTGTGACCACGTATTAAACTAAACTTACACTGCGTAGACATAACATGTTAAATCCCAAATCTTATTTATAGTTTCTGAAGTCTCGACGACTCGGTGTTCATGCGGACAGACAGACAGGCATGGCTAGATCGCCTCGGATTTTGATCCTGATTAAGAATGTACACACTTTATAGGGTCGGAGACTTTTACATAATTTTCAGGGAATACGATATACCCTTTTACTCTACGAGTAACGGATGAAAAAATCAAGCCGTTGATTGTTGATTCGGATTACTGCAGTAAAATTGATATTGTCGAAATATATATTTTTACATTTCGATGATATCAAACTGATAAGTTATGTATCACGCATAAAATGATACGGAATTTCATCAGAATGAGTATCATATCTAATAAATTTTTTTTTTCTGTGTGGATTAAGAAATATCATTAAATCTGGTTTCATTCCAGTTTAATCACGATTATATAATGCAATTTAATCAAATGTTTAAAACAGCTACAGGATTAAGATAAATTTGATAAAAATGAGTATAGCCCATATTTATGGTTGTGTCCACTGTGCATCATTTAAGCATACGTCCCATCAGATCACGTAGAAGATTATCCTAAAAAAAAACAAATAAAAAATTAATATATAATGAAACTAAAAATGTATACATTAAAAAAGTCATGTCAGCCTATAACATTTTGTTTGAACTTGTATAAACTTGTTACAAATTTGAGAAAACATAAGAGTATTAAACATTTTAAATATTTAATTTTTTGGAAATAAATTGAGAAATGTTTGTAGTTTTCTTAAGAGTTATGGCCAATAAATTATGTACCATAGACAAATAATAATTAATTTATTGAGTTTTGGTCGTTATGCACAAAAAATGGTTAAAAAATTATTATTTTTAAACATTTCTATTCAAGCGATAAATTGAAAAGTAAGAGTTATGAGCAAAAAATTGTGAAAAATAAAAAAAAATAATTATAAATTTATTGAATTTTGGCCGTTATGTGCAAAAAAAATGGTTCATAAATTGACATTTTCAGGTACTTGAGGCAAAAGACATATTATACTAATCAAAATTCACATAAATTTCTAAAAGACTTTCCCTTAAAATGTGAGGCAACTTTACTAAACAAATAATTCAGAAGCTTATGTTTTGTTGACCACTTTCATCGCTACTTTAAAAACTTCAATTCAAAACCCAAAAAATGTTACCTGATAAATGTTGCCCTATCTTATATTACTAAAATATTTTATCAACACTTATTTACATAAAAATTTTAATAACTAGACACAAATTTTTAACTTTTGTAGTATCATTCGTATTTTGACTATTATTTCTGTTTTATTTCTGCATAAAATTACAATAAGTTTATTTTTATAATTCAACTAGCTTGCAAAATTAAATCGATAATTCACTTCAGAAAAGTGTAATTGTTTTTTTAGTGGTGCCGTTGGAATCCAGGAGTACAAAAATGACACTCATTTGTTTTAAGCCACAAATTTTTTTTTTGTAATTGCCATTTTGCACATGTTGCAAGAAAATCATGATAAACTGTGAGAACTAAATTCAGCAGAACGAGCTGATTTACGAACTGAATTGAATTATAGAATAATTTAAAAATTTTTTTATTGGGTACCGCGGCTTTGAATATTGGGATAATCAATGGCAAAAAGTTTCTTTAAGTCGTTTCTCAAAAATATCGTGTGAATGCGTGTCATATTGAAACCTTGTCTTGTTTTCACTGCGTCCCAACTTAATTTTCACCACACCAGCGCCGATGGATGCCTATTTACTTTCATTCGCATGATATCATAAAATATGATAACCACTTAACCGAGAACAGTATATAAAAGAAGTTTGTATCCCGAGTTCTGTAACGTAGAAATTTTAAAAATGACGGAAAAAAAAGGTTTTCTTTAGCTATTTAATTGTAAGATTTTCTTAAGCTTTTAATAATAATAATAATTACTCAAATAAAAATATTATAGTGAAGAAAATTAAACTAATTTACGTAGTTTAACAAACAAAAAGAAATAAATCTGGATTGCTAAACTACATAAAAGATTACCACTACTAATTGCTTAATAACGTATATTTTAATTTCATTATTATGTGCCCTTGCCATAATGTATAAACATTATAGTTAAATGAATTTGCTACGTGAATTTGTCTTTAATATGGAAACCTACAACTACATTTTACTGAACTCAGCTGATGATTTCACGGTCGAAGAGTGCAAACACTTCTGTTACCGCCCCAGTACAGTAATTTGAAATTTAATTCTTATTATTTATTTTCTACAATATTATTATCGAATGAAAGAACGATACATTTTAACATCAATCGATGTGCATCCACGAGCCTCAAGAAGAGAGGAAGATTTTTTAAAGCTCTATATAATCCAGAATATATTTTAAATATAAATAAATTAACAATCGTTTCAACTAAAATACTGTTAGAAGCTTCGTTTTAATGGCCGGCTGTAACATTCTTTAAAAAATCTTACTATACGTGTATTGAACGACTAAGTTCCACGTGTGCAAGAGAAATTACTCTATAGTGAAAAAAAGAAAAAACAAGAAAGAAAGCAAACTTCGGCAAGCCGAAGTTCATATATTGCAAGAATTAAATGAAAACATCAAAATTATGATTTACTTACGTATATGTTGAAAAACATTAAAGCTATGGTGATTTGCAGCTCAATTACTAGATAGTTATTTTATATATTTTTATTATTTCTTTGGGAGCTATGTGATATAGTCGTCCGATTTTTATGACATTTAAACCGTAATTCTAAAATATTTAACCATTACTGTTACTATATCGAAGAATTACAAAAAAAAATTAAAAACAGCAAAGTTATAATTTTTTTATATTTTTTTTCCGATTGTTCCTATGGGAGCTATATGCTATAGTCGTCCGATTTTTATGAAATTTATAACGTAATTCTGAAATATTTAACCATTACTATATCTCGAAGAACTAACAAAAAAATTAAAAAACACGAAAGTAATAATTTGTATACCCTTGCAGAGGGTATTATAATTTCAGTCAGAAGTTTGCAACGCAGTGCAAGGAGACATTTCCGACCCTATAAAGTATATATATTCTTGATCAGCATCACTAGCAGAGTCGATCTAGCCATGTCCGTCTGTCCGTCCGTTTCTACGTCTAGTCTCTCAGTTTTAAAGCTATCTGCATGAAACTTTCCCGAAAGTTGTCTTTCTTTTGCAGGTAGTATATAAGTCGGAACGAGCCGGATCGGACGACTATAGCATATAGCTCCCATAGGAACAATCGGAAAAATTAATTAAAAAAAATTCAATCATTAACACATCCGCTAATGTTCTTATGTTACAGATGTGAGAGGAAAAGCGGGAAGCTGATCAAAAATATATCCAGCAAAAGTATGAAATACTTGCACAGCAATATGGGTTCAACCAGCGCTCAGCTATCAGCACGCCAAATACTTCCAGCAGACTTGCCACCCTTTAACGGAAATCCAGGCGAGTGGCCAGCCTTTATAAGCGCTTTTGAGAACAGCACCTCTGTGACTGGCTTCTCGAATGTGGAAAACATGTTATGCCTCCAAAGATGTCTGAAAGGAAAGGCGTGCGACCTAGTGAGAGACAAGCTTTTGTTGCCAACAATGGTCCCCGAGGTCATAAGCACATTAAAGATGTTTTTCGGCCGCCCTGATCAAATTTTGGATCGCCTAATCGACAAAGCAAGGAGAATATCCGTAAACTCACTGATTGACTACGCCCTGGCAGTTTGCAACATCTGCGCTACGATGGAAGCATGCAAACTCAACGCTCACGTCAACGACCCAATGCTTGTAAAGGAGTTAGTTGACAAGCTCCCAAATCAATATAAATTGACTTGGGCAATGCACCCAAAAGACGGATCTATTGGAAACGTAAAGGCTTTTGTGATTGGTTATACAAGATCGCCGAAGCAGCCTCCACCGTGGTTTCAACGCCGTATCAAAACCAAATAACGTACACACTCACACCAGCTACAACACCGGACGGCCCCAACACACCAACACACTTACGCGGCACTCTTGACCCAATATGTATGCAGTGGACTAATCAAACCACCAGAATGGACAGGAACTCTGTGCGCCTTAATATTCGAATCTCAGGAACAGACGACCAAAAATCATATTGGCTAAATAACGTCCACACAGTCAAAAATTTGGGCCTACCAAAACAAACTGTCAACGTAAGTGAGTTAACCGCCAAATACCCGCACCTAAATGGAATACCCTTAAAGTCTTATTCAAGTGCTGAACCAATGTTGACTCTGATACTCCAAGGACTCTTCGATAAATCGATGACGAAAAGGCCTACAAATATTAGATAGTACTTGCACAAAAATTGATAGCCAATATCAAGTTAGTCTCTTATGGCGTCACACCAACCCCATTTTACCAGAAAGCTATAATAGCGCAATGAAAAGATTGGACTGTCTGAAATCGAAAATATCCCGGGAACCTGATTTGTATGACAAGATTGAGGTACAGATTAACAATTTACTCGAGAAGGGTTACGCAGTCGAGATGTCTAGCGCCGAAATGACTATAAAGCATGAGCGCGTTTTGTACCTTCCGATATTTATCACTCACTACCCAAATAAACCAGAAAAAGTTAGGCTTGTATGGGATGCAGCAGCTAAATCTCACGGAAAGTCACTGAACGATTTCATGATAACGGGTCCTGACCTTTTGCATTCCCTCTCTGAAGTTTTAATGGCGTTCCGGAAAAATAGCATTTTGCGGTGACATTGCAGAAATGTTGTACCAAATTCGTATCGAGTAAGCAGATTCGCACGCTCAGCGATTTATATGGTTTAAAAAAGAAACCCGAGCTCCAAGGATATTTGCTATGAAAGCAATGACTTTCGGCATATCCTGCGCTCCATGCATTGCTCATTACGTGCGAGATAAGAACGCGAAGGAGTATAAACTGAAGAGTCCCCGAGCCTTTGAAGCTATTACTGAAGCACACTATGTCGACGACTACATAGACAGTCTGGCCGACGAAACAGAAGCAATCAAGGTTTCTTTAGAGGTTCGGGACATACACGCCGCAAAAGACTTCAATATACGAAATTGGGCATCTAACTCCCCCGAAGTTCTGAAGCATTTGTTGGGCGACTCGTTTACCCTACAACCGGCAAAGGAGCTCGGAGATGCAGAGAAAACCGAAAACTGATATGTTTAAATATTTTTTCAAATTAACACGAATGAAAAGAAACATCCTTTCCGAAGAAGCGATGCCAACCAAATGGAAGGCCCTACAAGTGTTGATGTCTATATTTGACCCATTGGGATTCTTATCCTGTTTCACCATAGGCCTAAAAATTCTGCTACAAGAAATTTCTTTTTCTACTTCGGTCGCGTGTAGACGTGTTTTCTTAACGCTCCGGAAAAAAAATAAGCCACTAAGTCGTAAACGTTCGAAAAAATTTATAAACGCGAGGTTTTGCGATTCGCGATGATAATTCGTATATCGTAAACCAAAGTTTTAGTTAATTAATTAATTAATATTACGCTCTATCAATAAATGAGTAAGAACGTGGATCAGCGCACTCAACGCCAA